GGCTCACTCTGGGCATGGCCTGGATGGCAGCTTCTCCGGTGTCCTGCGAATCGAAGGCGTGCAAAATAGACAGACTAAGCGGTCCCACGCTCGTTCAACAGAAGCAGTACGGCGGAGAGACGCACAACAATGCCTCTGCGTGCTGCGCCAGTGCGGCAGGGACCGCCTCTACAAAGATACATGCTAGGACCCAGCGGCCAACACCAAGTCAGCAAGACTCTGCACCTTCAAGTCTGCCTCTGCTTTGGCCTAGCAGCTGCCATCATGTTTCTTCGGCTTAGTATTAAGCAACTGCAGGCTCTTCCCGACTCCAAGCCTCTGCATGCTTCACCAACGCATCCCCCAGGAGCCGAATGTCCTCCTCTGCTCAGGCCGATGCCACGATGTTACTGCACAACTTCACTCTCCCGGCTCGGATCCCCGAATCCATGCACGGGTTCCCACAGTTCGCCTCCACCTCCGCGGCGGATTTTGCCTGGCACTGGAGCTGACCCTCGTGGGCTTCCCATGAACAAACCCGGATGCTGCTCAGCCTAAACCAGAGCCGGACTCAGCCCCGCAAAAGACCCCCAACTTCCACATGACCACCGAGTCTAAGACGGGGCCCCGCGGTACCCGCCTCCACAGCTTCTGCCTCTGGCTCTACCAAATCCTGCATCTGGGGCTTGCTCTTGCTTGGGCAGAGATGGGCAAAGATTGCACTTCTCTGCAGGACCACAGTCAGATTGATGGAGTCTGACCAATTCAGCCTAGACTCTAGACTTGCGAGTGCTGGGTTCTCCCACCATCGGGGGGGAGAGCCCTGGATAGCCACTCCCGAGTGCTCCGCTGTCGGTCTGGCTACAATGTCTGAACTCGGAACTCACATCCCCAAACCCTTGAAGCCGAAAAGAGCAACTGGGCCTCCTCCACAAACGGAGCCTTCATCGCCTGCTAGCAGCTCAAGCACATGAACCCGGTTGCTGGCCGCATCTGGCCACAGGAAGCTCCTTTCTCTTGCTTTGATGAGCAAAGGATCCGAGCCTCCCCCGTCGCCTCTCTCTCCTTGGGCACCTGCGACAGGGATACCAGATTTCCATTGGAGCGACGACGGCTACTTGAGCCGGCACTGAAGTTCCTGCATTCAATGGTGCCTGAAAGCTCAGAGGCGAGCCCGACAGAATGCCCCAGAGCTTTCCCTTTCACAATCAAGTCTAAGTCATCCTGCCCCCGGTGCCTGGGCCTCCTTTGCCGACTCCAGCAAGTCCTGCAGAAAAGCTGGGATCCTTTACGTCGATACTTTGTCGCGTGGCTGGCCTGCTATGGTAGCCAATGGTAGCTGTCCCCGACAGAACTGCAGAGTGGAGCTATGCACATGGAGCACCACTGCCGCATATTGCCACACGGTTCCATCGCCCTCACTTCCGGGCAGTCCTGCATGGAGCCAATCAAGGCAGCCACATCTACCGCTGATGTGGCCTAGCACGAGCATTCGGTGGTGCACCCGGCAGATCTGCAGGAAGCAGGGCCGGAGTCCGCCTGTGACATCACCAGGAGGGATGCCTCCTCTGGGGTCTGGCCAGCATGGCACGCCGCATGCACGAGCTCCAGGCCGAGGGAAGGACTGAATCGAGGCTTCCCTTGCACGCATTTGCACGCATGCGGCAGTCCGTGGCCAGATCCATCTCGGACGTCCCTGCGGACGTGTGGCCTGCCAACTTTCAACAGCAGCTAAAACAAACAGGAGGTGCCGAAAGCTACGCAAGCACCAGGTCGACGACAACGAGATTTTCGTTTGCTTGCCAGGTCACCCGTGCTGTGGGGTGGAGCATCCAATTTGTCCTGCACTGCACTTGGCAGAAAAGCTACGTCAACGCTCCGACAGAAAAGGCACGGAGGAGAGTTCAGGCGCTTGACTCGCCCCAGAGTCCTCTAAGGAGCGTGTCATGGCGGCCACACCAGCATCGCCGGTGGCCTGCAAAGACCCAAGATCTACTGCGAGCCTTATTCCTCGCTGACTGTAACAAAGCTCTTGTCAACTCGGATGAGTCTCAGAAAAATCTGACAACACTCACAAGAAAAATGCAGTGCACCCCTGAATCGAATGTGCCTGCGACACCACGACTGAGGCTTCATGTAGAGCTTCACCAGCACGACATGCAGATCGTATGAGCTCCTGGTCAACCCAAGGGTGCTTCTGATTATGCGCATTGCCACATCTTTCTGGTCCCACACCTTTGTTATACTGCCGATGTTGCTGAGACGGAAGGTTTCCGCATGCATGTCAAAAAGAATCCAACATTGGCAAGACCTTGCAAATCTTGGCACATCGCCCACACACGACACAAGCGCTTCCTCTGCCATCTCAGGTTTGGGAACCTGCAAAGCGAAGCGCTTCAGACTTCAAGGCTAACGAAGGAGCAGAAGGTGCCTCCTCCTCGACGACCTCGGGTTGCGCCTGGGAAGGAGAAGCTGCGAAGTTGCTTTCGAAGTTGCCATTCGTTTGGATGCCTTCCAAATGCCTCTCCTTCCTCTATCGACTCTATTGAGGTTCAAAGGGCCTCGTGGCATTACGCATTTCTTCCTGACTTTCAGCTCTTGGTCCTACAACTTCCATCCTCGGTAATGTGCCGAACTTGAAAATGCGATGGACTTGGCGGCTTCTATTTCAGCCGTCGCAGGCCTCCTTTGAAGCGGGTGCTTCAGGCAGCCAAGTGGCTTCTTCCTCCGCCTCTGGCTTGGGCTTCTTGGGAACCTGAAAACAGAAACGATGCCTTCCGATGCTCAGCGAATGCTGGCTCCAAGCCTTTCGGGACTTTCGGGTCGATTCGACAAGCTCCGGCTCCGCAAAGTCCTGACAGCATTGCAAGTCTTTGGGATTGTCGAGATGTTTCAGGTTCCCTTCGGGTCTTCAATCCCTTTATGTGGGGCTCACCACTCAGATCCAGCACTGGTGAAACGACAAAAACTGAACTGTTCCGCGCCGTGTTCCGCAGTAGCCATCCGAGCTTGCCAACAACATCCCGTGATCCACTTCGAAAGCTTATAATAACCCAATACCCCCACAGCTACAGTATAGCTTTATAGGAACCCATGACGACTCCGAGGAGGTGGACCTCCTCCTGCGGCTCCGCATGCTTGGCCTTGGGCTCGGGGGCCTCGACAAGCACTTCCGAAGGGATGCTACCCCTGGGGCATGAACTTCCTCTCTGAAAGACAGGTGCGACGACCTTACACTGAGATGCTTCGAAGGTGGGTTTCTCTAGCTTCTGGATCCCAGGGTCGAATCAGAAAAGTGAAAAAGCCATAACTAGTCGACCAGCCTGGAGATGCCGTGACTCCTGAGGCCAAGCTCGAATACACTGAACATCAAAGCTCCTCTCATCATCCACTCTTCGTGTGCCATAGCCTTTCCGGCTCAAGCAGCTCTGCTACTTCGGGTTGCAAGCAGCGTCCTGCGACTGTTTCGACGTGAACCTGAGCTATGCGAGGCTGTCCTGGGTGGCAGAGGTGACTGTGAAGTGGAACTGCGCCTGCGCTGTTCAAGGATGCAAGACGACGCAAGCTTCTAGCAAACAAAGCTGTGAGTATCCGAATGCCACGCCCGGCAGCCCCCAACTCTTGTCTCGGGGCCCTCTACGAATGCCTCTGGCCATTCCAGAGGCCGGCGCTCTAAGTCCCGCAGGAACCTCAAAGCAGCAATGATTGCAGTTTTCTACAGCTTGAGAGGCTCCAAGCTTGCCCGGCAATCGCTTTTATTGCGCATTGTTTCTCCCAGTCCGCACAGTGCAGAACCGCAAAAACAGGTTGAAGATGCCCGCTGCAAGCCGGCACCGTCAAACCAAAGCGGAAGCTTGCCAACACCCTGCAAGGCTCGTGAAGCGTGCAGCCAAAAGCTTCGCGCTTCCGTCATGCCACCTTCCATGCCAGCAACTGATCTATGAGCTGCGCTTACAGACAGATAAGACTACCAGGCGCGACGCAGCCCCTGTGCGGGCGAGGCGAGTGAGAGTTGCTTCATGCACACCACTTCTGGTGGCCGGTGAGCTGCTTCGCTTGCAATGACCCGTGAGCCTGCGAGAGCCCGCGAGCAAGAACGGAAGCTACTACAAACCGGCCCATTTAGAAAGAATAGAAATTAGAAAGACTGCGCCACGCCGAGCAAGGCCACTTGGCAGACTTCATCTGACTTTGTGAGCTGCGAAGTGGACTCGCCTTGGTAGCCTACTCACTGGACCTTTCAAGCCCATCTCTGCAAACCTTTTGCCTGCTGGACTCTGGCTGCTCATGGTGCCGCAACGTTTTCCGATGTCTCACCATAGCCCAAGTCCTGACACGCAGAACCAGGTATGTCAACGCGAGCTCCGTCTCGATCCCGAACTTTCTGCATGATGATCTGCATGATGAATTCCATCCGCTGTGCACTTTAACTATGCGGAAAGGCGCACGTATATTCTAGACTACATCATCGATACTGAAACTTAAGTTGGCCAAGACTCGCAGGCAGCTCGCCAAAATTCAAATGTCTTCCTTGGAGGCCTTGGAATCGCGCGACCGTCCATCAGCTAACATTCCTGCGACGATTACAGAGAACCTTGCAGCAGCAGTAGTAGTCGTAGTCGTCGCAGTCGTACTCGTAGCCGTAGTCGTAGTCGTAGTCGTGGTGGTGGTAGTAGCAGTAGTAGTAGTAGTAGTAGTAGTAGTAGTAGTAGTAGTACTAGTACTAGTACTAGTAGTACTAGTAGTACTAGTAGTGCTAGTAGTACTAGTAGTAGTACTAGTAGCAGCAGCAGCAGTAGTAGTAGTGGTAGCAGCAGCAGAAGTAGTAGTAGTAGTAGTAGTAGTAGTAGTGGTAGTAGTAGCAGTAGTAGTAGTAGTAGTAGTAGCAGCAGCAGCAGCTGCAATAGCAGCAACAGGAGTAGCAGCAGCAGTTGTAGTAGTAACAGTGGTCGTTGGCATCGTCGGAGGCACATTTGTCGTCCACTTTGCAGTAGTAGTCGTCGTCGTCGTAGTCCCCGTCGCCGTGTCGTAGTAGCTTCAGTGGT